TTTCCCCCTGAAAAATCATTCTGGTTTCTACTAATCAAATTATCTACCCGGCAACACCGGGCTAGCTACCACACTGAATTATACAAAATTTTGTAAATGGGTAGTGCAATTTTTTGTCAGTGGAGTGGGAATCTGAGGACCTGCAGGCAATCAGGATATTTGGTTCTGACCAAAAGTTCTCATTATCCAGAATCATATACATTATATTAATTGATCATAACCATTCATTCATGAATTGTAGATCAGCTGGAGGAGATTTTATTTCTACTGCTGGATAGCTTTATCAATAAGCCAACATAAAATAATTTCTAGTTTAAAATCTCCCCTAATAAACTTTAAAATTGATGCTATTTTGCATTTATAATATAATGTAGTAGAAAGCTGTGTAACGGAGGAATAAAAAACAAATACATTAAAATTGTACTAGAGTAAATGCATTAGGTTAGGTGGTGGTGTTGGGCATCGTAACATCACTCCAGTCCAATGGAGGTCCAGCCATACGTGCATTTCAGAGGCAGCCCTGCTGTTACATTTATCACTACAGTATAATTGTGCAGTGCTGCAGACAGAACAGCTGGAGAGAGGAGGGTGACACCGGAGAGTTAACCCACCTCAATTAGGCTAGTAAATGTCAAGTTAGCCTAACTGTTGTGACCAGGCTCACGGAAACTCAGCATTCTGTGTCTTTAAAAATTGGTCATGCATAAAAGTTTTCAGTCGGGGAAACGGTTGCCAAAAATTTTATGTAGGCTTGAGTTGGCGTGAAGCAACGTGCCAGTGCAGTCGTCTGGATAGTTCGTGGAAAACAATGCACCTTTATGACACGGTGGAATCTGCCACCGAGTCAGGTCACTTATGATACTTGATGCTACTTATTGTTTAACAATAGGAAAAAACTGATGTATGATAGAATAATAGTTTTATATTTAAAGCCTGATATATGTTGGATTTTAATCTTTCTAAATTTGGAACCCCTCAATGAAAAACTCAGTGCAATCTGCAATCACATCGGTCTAAAATGTAAATACACTTTCATCACAGCACCACACACACACACAGACACATATTTTGTGTATTGATTAAATTAAAACGAGCACTTCTCCAATTTAAAAAATGAACTGGGACTCATGGTAATACAGCACAAAGTGGTTTTATTCCTGCCTGTCTACTTGGCCTCTCAGCCGTTTTAATTAAACCAAGTAGACTGCAGACCGGAGTTTGAAGCATGCAGCAGGATAGAGCCGAGAAACTGAGCCGATCCTCTCAGTGATGGGAGCTCTCGTAGCCGTCAGGCAGAGGGTTGGTGTGCGGGTTGTGGAACAGACTGTGGTTTCCATCTCCCCAGGGAAATCTCTGGAAGGGGACATATAGTATTTTGGAGAAAATGATATTGAAAAAGTGAGCATTTATAGTTATAAATGGTTGTTAATTAATACATTAACCAGAGACTCACCTTGGTGCGGATACGCAGGTGAGGATATGGCACAAATTCGTGCTGTTCATGTGAGTGCGCCTGGGCCTTCATGTAAGCATTGGCTATGCAGACACTAACCCCAGGAAAGGCCAAGACGATGGTCAGTATCTTCCAGGTCTTTGCTGTCCGAAACAACAGAAACACACAAGTGAAGCACTTGTTAAAGCACGAGGAAGAAATCACAGGACCTGCCTCACTATTGGTCAGTTTGTGATTATTTGCCAGAGCAAGGATAGCTGCCGGCTCTGCAGACATTTCAGTTAATGTTCAACTAAAAAGTAAATGTGCCTTATTTTTAATCTCTAATGGGGAGGCTTAAAATTTGGAGGCTTTGAACCATTATGGTATTTAGTTATAAAGGACAGGCTGACCTCCTCCTTCACTGCCTGAATGTGACGCAGCAGCAAGCACCCGGCGAGCGGCTAAAGCGGCCGACATCTGAACAGGTGGAATGAGAGAAAACAAAGTTTAATAGCAGCTGTAGATATAAATAATGCACTTTTTTACACCAGAGTGCACGTAGAAACAGACAGAATGTGACTATTGGAATTTTATGTGCAATATAAAAAGTAAAATGAAGCAACATTTAATTATTTTAATTTTAAGAAGAAATTAAAGATCAGCTGAAAAGATAAGGTTGTTTAAACCACGTTTCTCATGTGCTTTAGTACCAAACAAAGTAGCTACAAAGCAGGTTTGAGCAAAGGCCTACCACTGCTGGTGTATGTCCAGACTTTTGACAGCCCCTTTTCAGTTAAAATACAGTAAAATCTGGTAAAAACTTACTTTTCCTCAGGTAGATGGTGCTCAGTATTCGTTATTGTCCTCTTATTTTTATATCAAACCAGTTCTTTCTCCGCCC